CCAGCTTATCCATGCTAGTCGCTAAACTCTTCAATGCCAACGCCAGCTTATCTATGCTAGTCGCTAGCCTCTCCAATGGTAACACCAGTCACTAGCTTCTCCAATGCTAACGCCAATGATGCCAACTTATAGATGATAGTTGCTAGCCTCTCCAATGCCAACACCAGCTTATCCATGCTAGTCGCTAGCCTCACCACTTCAAACACCAGCTTATCCATGCTAGTCGCTAGCCTGTCCAATGCCAATGCCAGCTTATCCATGCTAGTCGCTAGCCTCACCATTTCTAACACCAGCTTATCCATGCTAGTCGCTAGCCTCTCCAATGCCAACGCCAGCTTATCCATGCTAGTCGCTAGCCTCACCATTTCTAACGCCAGCTTATCCATGCTAGTCGCTAGCCTCTCCAATGCCAACGCCAGCTTATCCATGCTAGTCGCTAGCCTCACCATTTCTAACACCAGCTTATCCATGCTAGTCGCAAGCCTCACCATTTCTAACACCAGCTTATCCGTGCTAGTCGCTAGCTTCTCAAATGCTAATGATGCCAGCTTATCCATGCTAGTCGCTAGCCTCTCCAATGGTAACACCAGTCACTAGCCTCTCCAATGCCAACGCCAGCTTATCCATGCTAGTCGCTAGCCTCACCATTTCTAACACCAGCTTATCCGTGCTAGTCGCTAGCTTCTCAAATGCTAATGACGCCAGCTTATCCATGCTAGTCGCTAGCCTCTCCAATGCCAATGCCAGCTTATCAATGCTAGTCGCTAGCCTCTCCAATGGTAACACCAGTCACTAGCCTCTCCAATGGTAACACCAGTCACTAGCCTCTCCAATGGTAACACCAGTCACTAGCCTCTCCAATGCCAATGCCAGCTTATCCATGCTAGTCGCTAGCCTCACCATTTCTAACACCAGCTTATCCATGCTAGTCGCTAGCCTCTCCAACGTTAACACAAATGAATAGTCTCATTTGCCAGCATCGGCCTCTCAGTTAGTGGTGTCCGTCTGTCATTAATCAGATCAATAGCTGGCTTAGGAACAGATATAGCCTTCTGCTACAACCACTGGTTACACAATAATCTTAATTTTGGTCCTCATACCGTGCCATGAAAAAGGCTTTTCCATCATTTCAAGTGTTTAGACTCTTTCACTTTTTCCACACGTCAGTGTTCCATCAATTAACTAAAATCATTTTTTGTATATTGCTACAAACATAAAACTAAAGAAAAGCTTCAAATCTTCTAGAAAGTTTCCATATTTGATGCTGTTTGTTCCCAGAGGAAACTTTATTTTAAATTTAGTTCTAAAGTTTGTGTCCCACATCATGATGCTGCCGTCGCCGTGCTTCACTGTAAGGAAGTGATCAGCAGCTGATGATCAGTTTAGACTTTTATTAGTTTTTTTATTATTGGTAAATCAGTTTTTACAGCACATACAGGCAACGAGGATTCAAAGTTTTGTTTTAAGAAATTTATAAAACTTACAACCAATAATCTACAAAAACTGGAGGAGTTTGAACATTTTACAATCAGATCTGCACAAACTGTCACAATCAAACAGCACAAATATGGTTTTCACTTGAGAAGCACATTTAGAAAGTAACAATCCAACATGTGCAAAAGGTTTTCTGTTGGAAACTTCATATTTGGAAAGAGAAAAGTTGAATGTGTGTAAAAAGGATGAATAATTAAGCAGCTGACGTAGTTTTTAGAATTTAAATCTGCACTTTAAAAAAGTTCTAATCTGTGTGTCGACATGCAAGAGAAGAAAAATGAAAACATGGCCAAGGCGTCAGAAGACCAAAAATTATTGATTTTGTCTAAAATATCTGCATCAAATCTCAATTTACTGTTTGAATTAAGAATTAGTCACAATCAAAATTGTTTTAGAGACAAATGAATGGATGTGATGTAGCAGCATGATGGGCCTGAAGCCAGACCTGTTTTAGATAAAAGGAAATAAAATCATTTTTTTATTTCATGATCCAGATAAAACGATCTGTGTAAATGTTCCGGTTCAAACGTCAGGTTTCCATGTTTGTTACTGATTTTTCCACATCCTGTGTGTTTATGTAACACAATGTGAATTTCTGTTTTCCACCAGTAAACTTTGATCTGYGATGCTTTGAGGCAGGAAGCGGTGTCTGTGCTTCACTTTCATTCAAGTTCAGAAAATTCTATCCACTCGATCTCAGCTCTTCATATTTTGACTCATCCAATTAAAAGGCATTTAAAAATAATAATTAAAAAAAAAAAAAGGAAACGCCAACATTTTTGAGTTTGAGCACTGATTGCTGGGCGTGATTTTATGCTCCATTAACTTCAAGAATTTAGTAAAATTCTCATCAAATGGCAGGAAAATGCAGAGTTTTGAGTAGATCTTTTACTAAATTATCTATGATGGCATACCCCTGGTATGCCCCCCCAGAACTGCTTCAGTCCACAGCTGCTGGTTAACATAAACATATATAACTCTTCAATTTAAATTTAAGGCCTTAATTAGCCTTAAAATGTCTTAAAGCAATATTTCAGATCTCTTAAAATGTTAACATTGTTAGTAGGATCATTGTAATTCATCTGAAATAATAAAATTATTGGTAACATTTAAATCTTAATAAATTTACAGAATACTTCTCATTGTTTTGTGTTAAAATAAACATTTGRGTAAAATTGCTGCTAACTGGATTTTTTTGAACATTTGTATTTATTGTAAAGTCAATCTTAAATTTCATTTCAAGTGGTATTAAAAAGTTTTAAATTTAACTTCTCTTATAGGAACCTTATTGTTATTTTAATTGGACAACTGGGTTTTTAAAAAAATTAAGTCAAAGACAAAACTATTTAATTTGGTGTGAATAAATGTAAATTGGCAATGAGGTTTAGAAAATTGAACGGTGKGGCTGGGGGGGCAGTGGGGGTCCACCTCGAATCTCACTCAGGGCCAAGAATCGCCTAGGGCCGGCCCTGCTTTTAGCTCTATAAACCTGCTCCAATCCAGCAGGTTATTTTCTTCCTCCTCGTTATCAGGAAGTGTAAAACCTGAGCTTATTTTCTGACAGGTGACAGGTACGCTCTGCAGTCAATCTGCAGCTGAAAAAAAAACCATTTATTTCCCAACATCCAGCACCAAACGTGCACCAATCTGTGCTGTCCCCACCGCTTCCTGCCTGAAAGCTTCTGAACTGGTCCCAGCAGCTGAAGGAGCTAAGGAGTCATTAGTTCATTCAGATTCTTTATTTCCAGTCACCTTAAAGGGAATGTTCTCAGTTTTACTGTGATGTCTGTATTTTTCCTGCAATGAGAGAAAAAAAATGTCTAAAAAAAGAAGGAAATTTGGAGCCAGAGCAGCTTTGTTGGCATCTAAATGAAAGAAAATCTCACTCTTAATCGTAGTGGCTTTATAGGAACTGATTTTTGTCTGTAAAAATTAAACTTTTTCTCATATTCAGATCTGCAGATATTTTAATTTAAGTTCCACTGAGTCCTGCAGCACCGCWGAGAGTCTCTCCTTTATTACAGATCAGCTTCATATTTGCAGCTTATGTTTAAACAAACACTGAAAATCTGAGCTCACCATTAAAAATGTGCACTTTTTAAGCTCGTTCTGCTGAAAAAARGRWWAMCSRAAAMYTWAAAA